TGTTCACTTTTTTGTTGTTAAAAGAGATATTTATGCTTTATAACGATTTAGAAAGATGTAAGCGAAGTCAATGTATAATAAAACTGACGAAAATACAAAAAGAAAAAAACCATATTTATGCAAAACTTCTGTCAAACGAATGGTAGGATCTAATTTTCTAGGTGTCATGTAGAATTTTGTGTAATAAATCAAAGATATTTACACCCTATAATAAAATTCGGAAATGTAAAGCAAGAGAAGACCTAGTATGATATTTTTGGAGTGTATATAGACAAAAAAATCCATCAATGAGCCATTGGGAGTGGCTAACTTTTATCATTAGAGAGAAAAACAAAAATCAGATTGATGTGATTGCTGCAGAAACTTAACGCTTTGAAAGGCAGTTTTTCTGTTGTAAGTGCGAGATTTGTCTTAATAATAAAAGTTTATCCCACAATTGTTTTAAGAATGTTAAATACTTAAAATAATTCTAAACGATTATAATTAATCCCAATCTAGATGCACTAAGAATTGTGTGGATAAATAACGATTATTTTATTCATACGGGACGTGTTTATCTTTTATAATATCATACATCAGTCTCGTATTAAATATGCAATTATCTGTGATAAATAATGATGCGGGAAGTTTATACACGTAATAACTTTAAAAAAATGCTACTGATTCTTCAATTTTCATCTCAAAAAATGTGCTACTCCAGATTAAAGTTATTAAATTTAATCATACATGACGTACTTTGAAATTTTTTATATTAAAATTTAAAAGCTTTAAGTTGGTTTTATGAGTGAAAAATATTGGAATTGGAATATATTAAATTTATTATATATTTATCACATCATATTTACTATAAATATGTTTTATGTAATTTCAAATATGGGAATGTAAGTGATCTTTTCCTCAATTTAGAAACTGTAAATATCTAAGATTTTAAAGAAGATTGGTTAAAGGTATTCGAATGATGATTGTATTTTTGTATGATTGCTTTCATGTAAATATATATATCTCTGTATGTAAAAATAGACATATCTTTGCTTACTTCTCTAACTTATCATTGGAGAAGTAGGCAAAGTTAGAGAAGTGGTTTCTTTAAAATGTTTCAGATATTTTATTTTTAATATATTTTTCTCATACAGCAAAAGATTATCATATATGATATATATATATATAATTATCTCAAAAACTTCCTTTGAATGTAGCAATCCTTTATTGTATACAGAGGAATTTTGTGTACAGTATCATTTTTTATTAGATTATCAACAATTCATTTAAAATAATATACAAAATATTTTATTTTTTAAGAAAGTTTATAATTAAATCGAAATTTAAGTTATTAAGTTTCTAATTTATACAATATTTAAAAGCAATTTTTGTTTTAAATTTCGTGTGCTTTAAATTACATCTAAGTTTCGTGCTGTGTTAAATTTCCTATTTAAGTTTTAAATAAAGTTGTTTTGTTTATTTTAAATTTACTATAAGCAATTATTAAGTTTCTCTTTTTATTATTATATTTTCCCTGTTTACAAAATTGATTTTAAATGTTTATTTTTATTCGACAAAAATAATTTTATTGAATGAAGCGAGTCAAAAACTTTAATCGTTTGATTTAGAAGCCGTTTATTTTACAAAGGATATTATATTTTAAAAAATATATATATTTGAATAAATAAATTTTAAAATTGTCAGAGTAATTCGCTAAAACAGATTTTTAGGACTATCTCTTCGATCTCAATAATCCTAATTTGTGAGGATAATCTCAACATTTTTATTAAATCAATCCAAGTGAATTAGAAAAAAAATTTAATTTTTCCATTTTTTTTTAAATTTAAAATTGATTTTAATAAAATATTTCGGTTAGATTTTTATTCGCTCAATGATTAAATTACTAATTTATGTTTGAATGGAAAACTTCGAACTCATTTTCCTAAATTAATTCCTTTAGACACAATACTTTAAAATCTTTTAATTAATTTTCAATTAGTTCAGCATCGAATTTTCAATTTAGAATCATAAATATTCAAGATATAATCAAATTAATACATTTTCTTGATAATGATAGATTATATCTATTTATATGAGGTCTACATAATCCATTCTAGAAGGATTATACATAACTTTTGTCAAGTATCAAAATTCTTACATTTATCAAATATATTAGCGGAATTTTCCTATAATTAAAATAAATAAAATATACATACATTTTCCGTTTTCTTTACTAAATTTGATACAAAAACTTTCAGAAAATGGAAATAATGCATCTTTTATGTCTAGAATTTTAGCTTTCAAGGTACTTCTTCGAGTTCTTTTTATAGTTATTTATAAGAATTTTCTTGAGTATCGAATAACTCATAAATCTCTGATTGAATTGTCACTACTTTTTATGAAAGACTAGAAGACTTTCAGTTGGAAAGATTGACGTAAGCATTAACAGTAAATCCTCATATACTAACTAAAAAAATATTCAGCATTGAATTATGATTAGAATTTTTTTTCATTAATGTAGAATTGAAGTTTCTTAATGTATGATATTCAAGATTATTTTTTCCTTAGTGAAAGTTAATATTTGAAATTAAATATTTCATTTCTAATAATTCTCATTTTTAAAAATATTATTCGTAAAATGGAAGATTAAAGCAAGAAATAATAATTAAAAAAAACAATAATTCTTTAATATTAGAATATTATTTTTCGATTGTTCAGAATTTTATAAAATTAACGATATATCTATAAATGATTTAAATTTTAATTAAAAAATAAATGAATAATATAAATCAATAACTTTTAAAAGTTTCCTTTATATTTTTAGACAAGAAACAATGATTTATAATACTTAATTCCTTCATAAATCCGTAGCAAGTCGTAAGTTAAGCATTGTAAAGTCAGAGTTAATATATTTCAAATTAATATTTGTATAGCGAGACGACTTAGTTGAAAGAGTAGAGTATTTCGAGAAAATACAATAGAAGATCTTTGGCCAAGCAACAGTAAATACTAATTTCGGCACATTTAACGTTTCTTTATTGACTTTCCTCTACAAACTGTTTGACCCGCTCTTCTCAACATGCCTGGACGGAGATACTGCTTACTCAGCAACTTAGCTTTTCTTATGAAAAAAAAAGGAAGAAAAAGCTAGCAACGGTTTCTCCATAAATGTTTCTATGGAAATCAAGACATTATTTAAATAATTGTTAAAGTTTTCAGATTGTTTAATGTTTTATAGAGTTTGTAAACATTAAACTTCTATTTTAAACATTAGCTTCGGTATTTACCAAGTAGCTTTTTCTATTTGTTTGTTTTCTTTTATCTCATGGCTCTGATAATTAAAAAGAAAGAAGTTGCGATGATTATGATAATGGAGCTTTTTTACTAGGAGAAAAGTAACATTAGTGACCGGAAATAGGAGTGTTAAAAGAGTTAGTGTTATATTAACGATGGTCATTTCTGCGACCTTACTAGCACAATCGATCTCTGTGCCTAAATGAATTATAACATTCATTTCTTTTATATATGAAATCATTTTACAGTTAGATAATTTGTTTCTTATACCAAAAAAGTATTAAATACTTCAGATTATAAGAGAAATCTATTTGTAGAAGTTAATATATAACATTTTAGTAGAAAATGTTTAGTTTAAAACAGGTAAATTATCATTAAGGCAAGAATGATTAGAGAGCGGAATTAAACCGTCAAAACTATATCTTTATCCATAGACTGGAATACGAAATGATGTTAATTAAGCACAGCTTTAACTAAGAGGCTTCCTACATTATTAAAGTTAATCACTTTGAACCAATCAATTCTTATCATTAATCAAATGTTTCATTCCATCTATAATTATGCCAATTAGTTCTTTAGTAATAATACTTGCTCCAAGATCAAATAGAAACTAATGATTGGTAAAATACATTAAAAATTGTTTGAAAATTCTTTTTAAGTATATATTCTTTGTTATCTATAGAGATTTTTTCGATTTTTTCCTAAAGCTATAAGGATTAAATATTAAAAAAAAGGTTATTATAAAGAAATCATTCCTTTCTTTTTGTCTAGATTTTATAAAATTATTTTTATTTTTACTTATAAAAAAGTAAAAATAACTTTCTTTATTACCAAACTTTTTTTATTTAATTTTATAATTAATATAAAAAAAGTAAACTATGACTTTAATCAAATAAACTTTGGAAAAATTGTATAAAAACTTTAATATTACTTTTTAAAAATTCTTTGTAGAAATTAAAAGGTGTTTTTTTTTTCTTTAAGATTTTGAAAAATGACAACTATTAATATATTTTAAAAAATTCAACGTAACTAATTTTCTTAGAAATTTATAAATATAAAAATTAAATAAATATTCCACAAAAAATAAT